GTGATGGACAACACCTCTCCCCCCCTTTTCAAAAATCTCCTCTAGTTTTGGGAGGTGATCAGCGACGAGCACGGCATCGACCCCACCGGCAGCTACCACGGGGACAGCGACCTGCAGCTGGAGAGGATCAATGTGTACTACAATGAAGCTGCCGGTAAGTGTGGAAGGGAGGTATGGGGTCTCCTGCTCTGGAGGTATTCAAGACCTGCCTGGACAAGGTCCTCTGCAGCCTGCTCTGGGTGACCCTGCTTTGGCAGGCAGTTGGGCTGGGGGACCCACAGAGGGCCCTTCCCACTGTGATTGATTCTGTGATTGATTCTGTGATTGATTCTGTGATTGATTCTGTGATTGATTCTGTGATTGATTCTGTGTCTACTCCCTTCCGATGCCCTCAAACGGGGCAGACGTGCCGGTTCACGGAGGCTGGAAAAATCCCTGAACAGGAGCTGTCACCCCACCTAAGAGCTTTGTTCTTCAGTGGCTCTGATAAAGTGGTCGTCTTGATCGAGACAGTGTGTCTCCGCAGGGGATGTGGGGAGGCAGAAGGGAGCGCAGCAGGGGTGTGGTGCTACTGGCCATGGGGCTGTAACGGGGTGCCGGTTCCTCCCGCAGGTAACAAGTACGTCCCCCGGGCCATCCTGGTGGACCTGGAGCCCGGCACCATGGACTCGGTGCGCTCTGGCCCCTTCGGACAGATCTTCCGGCCCGACAACTTTGTCTTTGGTGAGTGAGCATAGGGTGGAGGTGTCCCGACGCGGGAGCTCCCTGTGCTGAGCTGGGGTGACTGGGTCCCAACAGCGCAGGGGGATGGAAGTGATCCACAGAGCTCCCTTACAACCCAACCCATACTATTCTGTGATGGGTGAACCCTGCGGAGCGGGAGGAGCGGGACCATCTCGGTTCCTCCCCGGGGCACTAACATGGCACCCGGGTTCTGGTTCCACCCTCTAGGTCAGAGCGGGGCTGGCAACAACTGGGCCAAGGGGCACTACACGGAAGGTGCTGAGCTGGTGGACTCGGTCCTGGACGTGGTGAGGAAGGAGTCGGAGAGCTGCGACTGCCTGCAGGGCTTCCAGCTGACCCACTCGCTGGGCGGCGGCACGGGCTCTGGGATGGGCACCCTCCTCATCAGCAAGATCCGGGAGGAGTACCCCGACCGCATCATGAACACCTTCAGCGTCATGCCCTCGCCCAAGGTGTCGGACACGGTGGTGGAGCCCTACAATGCCACCCTCTCGGTGCACCAGCTGGTGGAGAACACGGACGAGACCTACTGCATTGACAACGAGGCCCTGTATGACATTTGCTTCCGCACCCTGAAGCTGACCACTCCCACGTACGGAGACCTCAACCACCTGGTGTCGGCCACCATGAGCGGCGTGACCACCTGCCTTCGCTTCCCCGGCCAGCTGAATGCCGACCTGCGCAAGCTGGCAGTCAACATGGTGCCTTTCCCCCGGCTGCACTTCTTCATGCCGGGCTTTGCCCCTCTCACCAGCCGCGGCAGCCAGCAGTACCGAGCCCTGACGGTGCCCGAGCTGACGCAGCAGATGTTCGACTCCAAGAACATGATGGCCGCCTGCGACCCACGCCACGGCCGCTACCTGACGGTGGCCGCCATCTTCCGGGGCCGCATGTCCATGAAGGAG